GTTACGGTAGCAGATTAGCAAGCTTAGCCACTAGCTCAGCTCGTTGGCGATGAGCTGGACATTGCCGTGAGTTTCATGGTGCGATACCACAGCAATTTCCGCAGAGTATTAAGATCGGACTACGAGATCTGCTCGGTGAGTAGGCAAGCAAAAATTAGCCCTCTTAGTTAGTAAATGGCTAGGCCGAGTATCGTCGGGTGAGGGCAGAGAGAACTTAGAGAGTAAACGACTAGTCGCTTTGATACCGCCGTGGCATCTTTAATAAAGAAAATCGCTTGCCGCAACAAACACACCTTTTAGGGGAATATAGTTATTTGTTCGGTGAAGGGGGGGGGCTAGTACCAATATGCTATTGGGAGCAGGCACGGTAAATTGCAAGGGGGGAGTTGGGCTTTGAGCGAACTTTGAACTTGTGGAGCTCCACTTCCCCACATTATGGTAGAATCACAACGTCGGTCTTAAAAGTCATCTTGACGATCAAATTTACGATAGCGCAAATGCGTTCGATGGAATTGGAACATTTTTCAAATTCGATGGTGGCGAAGATACCATATAGAACAAGTGTGTGGGTTGTCTCTCAAGGAAGAAGCGTGTCGAAAAGCGAGAAGAAGAACTTGAAGGAGATTCGAAGAATATCTGAAGAATTTGGGTAGACCCACTTTGAGTTGAGGTCGTGTAATGGGCCAGGTTTCATCACACATGTTGTGTGGAGCACACACGTGTATTTAGTATACCCTGTATAGTTGCATATCCCCTTTTAGTTCTGTTGTATCGGAACTGGAGGAACTTATGAGCTGTGGGACATTTGAAGCGTATTGGCTATAATAGTAAATGGCACTTAACTTTTCCTCCTCTTTACGTATGTCAACGGCTCACCGGAAGTGAGCAACATGCTGTGAGGCGTGTCAGTCGGCCTAAGTCTTCCTTGGTAAGTGTTTGTGTACACGAACAGGCAATTCTCGTTACTGCTACCTCCCATGGGACCAACTAAAGACAAGACCTTATTAAACCTGCCCTCCTCTCGCGAGATGACACATGTGAGTCCTCAGAGAGATGCTACTGGAAATGCTCTAGGGACTTAAAAACGCTCTTGTCACGATCAATCGGATGGTCACACATGTCTTGAGGCCGTATTCTTTGATTTCATGGAATTACTTCGATGTAACTTTTGTCCACAACAAGGCTAGGACGAAACAGAAGTGGACGCTCACATATGCCACCTACTCGAGTAATCTAAGGCTTTGAGAGATTGCAAGTTGTATGCTTATCTCGTGTGTGTACCTTTCTTTAACCGAAATCATATTGCATTAGTATAATGTGATCAACAGGGGCGTTTGATTTGATCTAAAGAAGAGCGCATCAATCAGTGTTTGGCCAGTTCCAACATGCCACTAGCGGCCGTCAGCGGTCCGCTTACCCCTACAATTGTTATGCTGAATTCGTGCACCAACTATTTCAGCTAGACTTGAAGAGTAATGGAAGGCCGCGGAATGATGATCACCAGAGTGCGCTTTCAATTAAGACGAAGTGATTCCCCAAGCTTATCGCTATCAAACTGATTTATGCCAGTCCCCGTTTTATGACTCCATTGATATCACGATCGGCTGTGCGATGATTTGATTCCACGCTGCGTGAGTAGTTAATTTTAAATTTTGACAGATGAAGTCAGCTGAACATTTAACCACATTGCATAGCTTTGACGACAGTTAAATCTCGACCTTTTTATATAATGCATTGAGATTGTCACTATCGTCGTGGTGTACTACATGCAAGAATAGAGCAATACTCGCGCACATGCACTTGCTAGACGATCTAATCGACATTTAAATCCCCAAAACATGGTTTTCTGGAGATCTTGGATTCGCTAACGGTGCAAGCGCTCAAAAATCACCCCCTAGACTATTTGGCAATCTATGGTGCGCTTAAGATATTATTTTAGTTGCGGCGAGCGCTTACTAATCACTTCCCGAGACTGTTCCCCCTTTTGTAAGGCACATAGCATTTGTGTCACCAGTTTATCATGTTTTTATCGAGCCCATGACATTGATATGTGATATACTTCTTGCACAATTCAAGACCGTATTCATCAATATCACATACCAACAGTTTGCTGCATTAAAGCATTGTTCCTTACAAAAAACGTTTCTTTGATAGCTGATTACTACTTAGGATTTATCCACCAAAATGACTTTACTCAATTTATAAGTTAATGCCTTGCATACACAGTAACGAGGACGGCGAAGGCATCAGTGGTCAGCGTCTACGCAATACCAAACTTAGCAAAGTTATCGTCAAAAGAAGACATCAATCAAATTGCGCATCATTTTTTTCTGAACTATTCATTTGATTTTTGATTTGATCGCTAATGTAGTAGATCGGTGAAAAGAGTACGTAAATTCAAATGGGTGCCCGACCATCCGACGGTCATGTGAGGCAACGTGTCCTGTTGCCCGCTCAGAGCCTTAGAAAAAAGTTTAATTAGCCGCCTTGGTTCAAATTTTATGTGTCTTAAGTTTTTGAGACATATCGGTGTGTCCATACTACTGAGTTACATCAGAAGCTAGGCTTGCATCCCGCATTTTAGATTGGAAGCTCTTAATCGTACTGCCGTTGTGAAATCTGTATAGCGATCTACATGCTACTGATTTGAATTCTGGGACTCAGCGGGACGCTGACTCCACTCATCAGTAATACATGTCTTCCAGCGAGCCAGTTGCTCGCAGAGCTGTGTGGGGTTTATATTCGCACGCCAATCACGTGACCTTTCTCGTAACACTCAATCTAATTGCTCAGTTCAATGGGAATTAACATAATTCGATTGAAGTGCACTAAAAATCCGATCCGATCATACCGACGTTAACCAATTCCTGCTTAGCACCACTCGATCTGGCCAATCAAATGACTTAAGCAAGTCATGAAGCTGTAAGCGATGATTTCCGTTTGTCGTAAATGGGTATCCGCTATTGTTGGATGGTGCTGATGCATATAATTGGGTCGCCAACCGCGTCATCAATCACGATATGTCCGACAGCTAAACCACGAAAAAGAAGAGCCAAGGTGTTCGATCCAACCTTTTACATTAGCTAGAACGGTCATAAGCCGTGGGAGCACGGTCGGAAGTTGGCGGTTGACATTACTGGCATCGTGCTGCAGCAAATAGGCGCGTCCCAACGCGTAAAGGCTAATCGCAAGAAAATTCGTGGCGACAAACCACCGTTTGATATTTAATACCAGCCCCCGAACAACAAAACACTATAAGTTTTAGCGTAAAAGTCTTGACTCGTAAACACTTAACATAATAAAGTGCGAATCTGAGGTAAAGGATGGACTTCCTACCGCAAGTCGCGCAGAGAAGAGTTCGTTGAACTCTTTTTTAGACGATCAATAATCTCCTTGTTTTAATTACCAATCAACTTCCAAAAGGCTCGTAGCAAGAATTTTGACAGATTCACCAAATGTTCCTCCCGTCCTGTATCATACAAGGTAAGTATGAATGTCTTTTGGTGTCGATGTTTTCTCGCGCAAAACAATAGAGAATCGCGACATCGATGGAATACAACTTCATGTCAGTATGCGGCGAGGTGGACCAGCGGTATTGGCCATGATTGATGGTATTGTTGTGGTGCTCATTGCTTTCACGGGAGCTTAAGTTGGTGTGTTCATTGCTCGTACAGGGCCAATAGAATCAAAGTATTGTGGGAGCGATAACATGGTTAATACAGCAGTGATAATCTTCTGTACACCTTCCTCCTCTTACTCTCGTATATAAAAGGTGTGTCAGAAGGGGTGACGCACTAATCAGTTTAACAAGCTAAATGTTTAATATCATATTCGAGTTCGCCGTTTCGATAAATTGTCGAACCGTGTAGCAGATCTAAACCCGTTGCACGTAATGTGTACCTACACCATGATAGGGTTCGCACCCCGTTGGACCTTACGTCCAGCTACTCACATCAGCATCGTCGTGATCATAAGAGAGCTTGTGTAACGGGATCACACATACCCTGGTAACAGGGGTGTATGTCACACCAGATGGGCATGGTGTGACCACACCCAAACTAGAATACGGCACGGGACTGGATAGCCAGTAGTTATGCAGTTATTTAGGTTTTACTATACATATTTAGGAAAATCTATGCATTTAAAATTCGGCGGCTTTGTCGCAGATAAAAATAAATCAAAGTCAGTTTGAATTTGAGTTAATTAGCCTTGGGTTAAGGCTATAATTACTCTTGGAGAAAGCGGATTGCGATCTGCTAAACTCGTACTTGTTCTAAGTATAGAACGAAAGGTCGGTGACCTGACTTACGCTTCCTCTAAACGCAAAGCTACGTCAGCCCCGCTGCAGCTTGTCTCCGATATTACCTCATTTGTTTAAGAGCAATCTGCAATTTTTGTCTGTGGCGCGGTCTAGCAGCATTTCACATTATAGTTTGTGTCTTTCCTAGCTACGAATACGTATCTTTTTCAAATTGCGATCTAAAGTGTTGCATGTTCTTGAAGAGGCTGTGGGTTGTAGCCAACTCATTCACGAAAGTGATGTGAAGTCGCTCAGCCCCACAATTCAAGAATATGAATAGGTAGAAAGTTTTCGTGTCTTAACTATGCTATGGCACTTTGTTTCGAGAATATGTCACGATCGAGATGTACGTTTCTGTCGATCGTGTTACTTCTTGTGAAACATTAGATTTTGTGTATGAATTTTCCTGTCAAACAAAAAAAGGAATCCTGTAACTCAAATAAAAAAAAGATAAATGGCTATCGAGTCTGAAAATAATTTTGGATATTTGCTCAACAATCATATAATCGAGGAGAAATTAGAATTCAGAACCTTGTACTGACTTAAACTCACTTCAATGATCGATCCACCGATTGTAAATTTCAAATCCCTTAATTTCAGAATTTGGTTAAAGCCTTCACAAAAAGCACGGAGAAATTTTTGTGTAATCTTGTTGGTGTGCTTCAGATAAAACACACCAGTTTATTCTAGTAAAAACTGAATGGAATCTCAGCCACCCAGCTCCAGCGACGGGGTGTTTGCAGTAGCTGACGAGTCAGCCCCACCGCTCCCAGTGCTTGAGCCGCCGGCTAAGAAGCACCAAGCTGCTGGGCGCAAGCGAGACCCTGTATGGGATTTTACCACTGTTCTAGCCGACAAACGCGTCGTTTGCAACCGCTGTGGAACAGTTATTCACCGCTACGGCGTAGCCAAGGTTGAGCGTGTGCGCGCACATTTTGAGCGCAAGTGCTCAGGCGTGCAAGCACCGACAGCGACGCTTAATGCTAAAGAGACTGAAGAAGTAAGAAGTAACCATTTGGAAAGGTCACACTCGATTATGGGAGCGGATCTCAAGCAACATCGAGTCGTCATTGGAAGTAATTACGGCAACAAGAGCGGTGCGTTCAAGCGCAAGATTGCCTATTGGCTGTATGTCACGGGGCAACCGTTTAATAATGCTGAGAGTAAGCTACTACTGAATGCTTTGAGAGTTTTGCGCAATGATGTGGTGTTGCCTACAAAGCGCGAGTTGGAGAACGAGCTGCTAGATCTCGAGTTCATCGCCTCTAAGAGCAGAGTAAGTAAGATTCTGAGCGGCAAAAGGTGCTGTCTCATCATCGAGCATTGGATAGGACTTGAAGGTTGTAAAATGACAACTTTTGGAGCCATTTGTGATGGTGCGTCTTATTATCTCGAGTCAAAAGCGGCGCTCAATCACGAAATTGGTGGAGAAGTGACGGCTGATGAGGTGGAAGCGGTTTTAATCAAGGAGAAGAAGACAGAACTTTGTGGTATCGTGACACCTACGACATCGGTTTTCTCGAAGCTTACGAAAGGTGTGATCCAGAAAAAACACCCACGATGCATATTTTTTTATGGCTGCATATGTCATGCACTCACGTTGCTGCTAGACGATGTCAGCTGTATATTTCCGTGGCTCAAAACCATGCAAAAGTCAGTTGTTGATCTGATCACGATATTTCACGGCAATCATAACCTACAGACCCAAATTTTTGATAGTGAATTTCTTCACATAGCCAATTTTCCAAATTCTAGCTCGGTGTGCGCTTCATTGGAGGATCTATTAAAGTATGAGAAGATGCTTTCTACGATTGTTGCCCGTCGAGACTTTGTTAATCTCAGTACGCCGATAGAGCAGGAAAAGTTGAAGCGCGTGCAAGATTTTATACTGGGTGAAACCTTCATTAGAGATGTGATCAAATCACTGGATATCTTGCGTCCTCTTCAGCAGCATCTGAAACGTTTTCAAGAGGAACAGCCTTCGTTGTCGTTAGTGTTCCCGTGTTATTTGGAGCTTTTGTCTGTTTATTCTTCAATTAAATGGGTGAGCAAGAAGGAAAAGGCACTGATTACTTCTTGTATAACCGAGCGATTCAATGCCATCTACGGTGTCTCACACGGTGTAGCTTATACGCTGGATCCACTATATCTAGGTGAAGCTTTGGATGATCATAAAAAGCAGGAGGTGGAAGATTTTATCATTCGCTTTTGCGAGCATGAAGGTCATTCGGTTGATATTTTGACGCAGCTACAAAAGTTTAAGTCCAAAATTGTAGATTTAAAAGAAACCAAAAAAGAATTCTGGCAGATGGTGCAGTCCGGTTCAGTGGCACCGCTTGACTTCTGGATGGAGCATCGAAGTCATTTTCCGTATTTACATCAACTAGCAACCGCTGTCTACAGTTTGCCGATAGCTTGTGTCCCTTATTCACCATCATATGGGGATCAAAGCCTAGAGGTCCATTCGCGCTATGACAAGTTACCACCAGGCCAACTTGCAAAGCTGACTCACATTTTATGTAATTCAAGAAAAGACGCTCATGAGCCACTGACATCAATTTAGGCAGAAATGTAAACACAACCGTGTTGCAACTTCGAGCAATGTTCTATAATTGTCGTGTGTACGCGTCCCGTTTCAAGAATTCCTAATATATAATCTTATCAGCCCGATTGCCGTGCAGATATCATCTTGGATGTATGTTACTAAATCTTATTTATAGGCAGATAGGGCATTCCATATCCACCTTGTCGAAGGACTTTTAAACCAAGATAAGTAGATTTCTAGCTATCAGTTGCATACTTTACAACGGCGTCCATGCTAAACCACCACGAGCAACATTTTTTTGAAGTCAGAATTTCTGCTACCGACTTCACGTATCGTGAACCGACGCGTCGTTTCGCCATTGATTATGTCAGAGGCAGATCCGGACGACGTCTACGCCAGCGATGAGTACGAGCTTGATTCGCCTGCGCACTCTCCACCATCCTCTATGCACTTGCATCAATCTCAAGATCGTTTTACAACTCTAAACACACTCCATTCCGATGCCAATGTTTCAGAAAGTGAATCACAAGCCGTCACACTAAAATCGATACCAAAATCTAAGCCAAAGCAAATGTCTCGCGAGTCTGACAGTGTCAGTAGACATCATTTGCTGGATAATACTCCATGGACGTATATAATTGTGGCTTCACAAGTCCGTATGCTACGAGTCCCATTAGCTGACTCAATAGCAATTCGAGAGCTGCGGGTCTATGCAACAATTGACAAACAGGCATTTCAATCTCAGGGATCAAGATGGAAACACGAGCTACACTCCATAAAGAGGGATTTTTCCACAAATTTTGCTAAGAAGCAGGAAGTTCATACCAAATCATCACGGCGAGTGCAGCCGTATCGACGAAGTGGAATGATGGAGGAAGCGAGGTGGGTGCGAGGCGACGGGCAGCTGCAATGGACTTTCCCGATGGAAAAGTTTCGTCGTTTAAAAGCATATTCACCAAGGATCAAGGCGTTTGTGTATGGCATTAGAGAAGCAGGACCGTTGCAAACCTTGCAAACCCAAATGGAAACTCTCGCGCATCAAGTGAAACAGGGACATATCTTGAGCTTTGGATGGTTCTTTCTCGACTTAAGGTTCGCTTTTTTGCAGATACCAACATATTAGTAAACTAACGTACAAGCTTAACCATGTGTTGTGCACTAAAGAACTCCCGACCTTCCTGAACGGTGGCATAAGTTGCAAAACTCTCCTTTTGGTGGTGAGATCCTGGTTTCCAGCACCTTCTTGCCAAAAGAGAAATCACTCACACAGCAGCTACCCAATGTTACAATGGCACAATTTGGTGACAAAGCATCTACTGTTGTGCGACATGACACAAAAATACTCACAATCTTCGAGACGGAAGCTGTGTCAGCTGCAGCTCCAAATAATAGTGGAGAATTTTTGCGAATTGGTGATGGCGAAGGTCAGGACGTTTTTGTGCTGTCGGTTTTTATACAAGGAGCCTTCAATCTTGCGGAAGTGGTGAAAACCTCAATGGGAGAGATACGACAAGAATCGGAGCGGACTGGATACTGGCTTAGTTACTCGCTCTTCGACATTGTGGTCCAGACAGATATCTTCTTTAATGTGGATGTTGCTGAATTTCCGCCTATTCGCGATAGCTTTCGCTTAAAAAGTAGCGTGAAGAATCTAGAACAGTGTCTTGAGGCTTTGGAAAAACTCACTGTGTTTTTATGTACTGAAAACCGAGTGCTTGCCGGAGTGGAAATTCCGCTAAAGTTATTGCTTACCAACGGTTTTTTTGCAGAAATAAGAATGGAAGGAAAAAAGTTGGAACTCGGTGACAAGTCCGTTTTCGAGGGCAAATTCCCGTTTCCTGACTTCAACGATACCTTAATCTCTGCATCTATCACGGTAGAATTTGTTGAACCGACTTCGTATACGGATAGGATTCATCACAATGATCCAAAGTACAAGGCAGATGAAGCAGCTGACAGTGATGCACAGGACCAATTGAATTTGAAGGGAAATAATGCAATCAACGCAAGTATTGAGTCAGACGGTCCGGTCTCCTTCAAGCTAGATCATCTACGTTTGAAAAGGTCAGCACTATACTCTTTTAACGGTCACGAAAACGTATGCATCGAGCTACAAATTGGCCACAATACAGCAACGGGCATATTGGTAATTTTTTCCTACACCAATAGGCAAGTATTTGCAACTTGTCAGGCACTTGACGAGACTGTCGTGGAATCTTTGCGTCACATTGTGCTTGATACAGACATTCGTGTGAAATGTTTTTCATCAGTTTCTGACACTGTGGTTGCAGAGTCTTCGCAATGTGTAAAAATAGTTGGTGACGATGAAGGCTACCCAAGATCGATCGTAGTTCAATTGCAAAACAAATCAAGACAGGTTGTGGGGCAATGCACGTTATCATGTTTACGTGGGTCTCAGAGACCTAACCGTGAATATATTTATGATGCAAGCGGAAAAAGTCGACTCTATCAACTATGTATAAAGCTAGAATCAATTCGCGACTTCCTTTCACCCGGAGGGTATACACTTCGCTACCAGAATCCATTCCTCAATTCAGCGCAAGGTAAGGATTGACGTACCTTTTGTATTTATAAAATTTCTAACATAACTTTACAAATTATAGTCACAAGTGACTGGTTTACCTTGAAGAACACGGGTAGGATGAAGACAATAAACTTTTATTGCATTTTCGACTTGATCAGAAATCCACTACAACTGAAACAAGAAATGCAAGGATTGGTCAACATTGATCTAATCTCAAGCGATGAAGAAATGTGAGCAGCCTATCATACTTCAATCGTTGTTGTACAATATTTGACCTCATAAGTGTGCAGAATTGGAAGTGCAATCTTCAGTTTGAGCTACTTGTATTTCTCAGAAGAACACTTTTGCTGCTCTTCGGAAAACTGCGATAAGATATTCCTATCCCAAGCTGAAACCGAGGCTCACTGGCTGGAAGTTCATACTGAATCAGCCCTTCCGGTTACTCAAGCTAAACACGAGGGATATTCACATTCGTACCGCAGTTGCTCGATTAATATCCCAATTGTCAGTTTTGGAAGCAATGACGAGTCGAGTGATCAACGATCAAATCGTCTAGGATCCATATGTGTGTCAGCGTACTTGGAAGATACTGGATTGCTAACTGAGGAACGTGCGTCCGCTCGAAATGCAGTGTATGTTGCACATGGGAATTAATTAAGATTTAAAAGCGTTATAACAAAGAGGTCGTTAATTTTGTAGACTTGCTCTGCTTCGATCTCCATTTCAAGAAAAAGCGATTAATTATGATGAAACGCAAGTCGAACTGCGGCTAGTAGAGGCTGCAGTGCCAAACCAAGACCACTCAAATAATCTGCCAGTCGTACTAGAAGCCAATGAATTTAGTGAATCGATACCAGCCATAAACGAATTTTCTACAGCTGAAGCTGTTGCTCAAAAGCAACATCAAAGGACTGAAGAGGAGAGATTGCGTGAACAAGCAAAGAAAGTAGCACAACTACACGAGGTTTTGGAGCGCGAAAGAAGTGCTTGGAAGCATGAACAACATCTTCAGCAATTGCAATGGAAACGACGCTTTGCCGAGATTGAAAAGTCTAGAATGGACGAACTTGAAGAAGAATGGGCTCGCCGGGAAGAAGAGAGGAGCAGCTTGCTTAAATCTGCGCAGGAAGAATACCAGCAGCTGGAACAAACGCTTCGAGACTCGTTGTCTAACTTGGAGACGAGGGAGCGTTGTCTCGCGGTGGCTGAAGCCGCTTTGCAGCGGGAGCAAGAGGTCAAGCGCGATGAAAACGAATCTTTGCAGCGCCGTTTAAAAAGTGAGCAACGCCACACGCTGGCGTTGACAAAGAAGGAGACAGACGCCTATGAACGACGCGTACAATTGTTAGAGTCTCAGCTGAGTGATGCAGAACGGCGAGCCAAGCAAGTTGAAGCAGATTTTGCCGAGTATCGACAGCAACAGCGCAAGCTTCCCGAGTCCAAACTACGTGAAGAGATTGCGGCTCTTAAAGGCAATGTTTCCGAGCTAGAAAAGCAAAAAATGCTTAAAGAGCGTGAGTGTGAAGGTGCCACAGCAAGCGTCGAGAAGATGAAAGCACAGCTTGACCAAATGGCCAATTTGCTAACTAGAGAAAAAAAGAAGCACGAAGCACGAGTAGTAGATGAACTGGAAAAACTTCGTGTAAAATACGTTGCTCGAGAGGAGAAATACGTGCTGGATGGTGATCGAGATGAATTACGAGCGATTAAGCAGCAGTTAGACGAGTTAAAGGGGTTTAAATTGCGGAGCAAAAGTGGATACAGAAGATTTTATAAACAACGTCCGAACGGACCAGCTTCACGTAGCTATTGCTCACAACAATCTGCGATGATACACCAGTCACGCTCACCAAGTGAGTCCAATCGTAAATCTCAAATTGAGAATGCATTTCAAAATGGAAACAATTGGGACACGTTTTCGTCTGTAGAAGGCATATACCCAGGCACGTTTTCCGAGTCAAGAACTCACGGGCCACTGAGCGAACAAGATGAATCAAGATCCCATTTGATTGTAATCAGCCACCGAGGCTCAGAGGCGACTGAAAAGGTTGTCGATCAAGTTGGATTACGCAGCTCTGTTGACTCTAGTGCTGCACAAACTACTATCGAACTTGGTCGACTCCTACGCGAGCGGAAAATGCTGCTGGTTAGTGGGGCATACGATACCCAAAGTTATTTGGTTCGAGAGCTTGACCGACTTATTAGCATCGCGAAAGAGAACTCGGACAATAACCATTAGTACCTTGCTAATTGAATTTTGTATTGTTCATTTTCCTGTCTGCAAGAAAGCATTTATTAAGCCCTCACTCACTATTCAAACAAAGCAATTTCATGATTTTCAACGAATAATCGAGAGTATCCTATGAATTTTCACAATGTGAAGAATGTTAATGCACAAGATTGAAAGACCAACAGTGTTACACCTTTGCTCACTAAAAAAAAACTGGGGTAACCACTTCGTTTCCTTTTAGATGATAAATCTAACATCTGTGCCATTGTTAACGCGGATTCCATTGCTAAAGCTTCTCATGTGTAAAGTTCGCGGCAGCACCATTGCATCGACAACCCCGCATATGGCTCTCATGAGCTCCCTCGATTATGGAAATATATTGCCTCGCTCTGTAAATTTTGGCGCGTGACTTAAAGTAAAAATTGCATGAATCTTTAGCATGTCTTTGCGCTGTGTTGCCTGAGGTACCCAATACGGATTGAATCACATTGCCGCAGCAGCTAGGAAGAAACAATTGAATGCGTCCCTTGACTTCTACAGAGCGCTTTGCATTTAAATGTCTCGTAAAAATGGGATTGTGGAATGGTCCTCACAAGATCACATAGAACGCGGGATGTGGTTCTTTGGGATATTGAGAACTTTCTCGCTCGTCCGCAATTTTTTAATGAGGTAAGATCGAAGCTTGGTTCTATAAAAAGTAGAAACCGCGTCATTAGGTTGATAGATACTGTTTTCACCAGCTAAAAACTTCATGGATGCTCTTTTGCATCTGGTCTCTGTGTCTCGCTTCTGCACGTACTGTGTCGCGTCCATAGCGGCGAATGCTCGGCGGATGACGCTCAATTTTGTTAATATAAAGTGCCTAATATCACTGCAATGAAACGGCAATTCTAATCGCGTTGATGGTCCCATCACGCCAACACAGAGCTTTTTCGTGGCTACCTCAAAGGTACACGGGTATTACCAAACATCTGTCAATGAAGTGCAGCCAAGAGAGGCATTCGAACCGTTATCTGACGCAAATATTAGCGTTTTAGCAACTTGCTTTGAACCGTGTACTCTTTGCACAGGGGCTTTAATCGATATCATCTACTACAAGGTCCATACATACAGTCTTCCCAAATTTAACGGAAAAAGTATGCTATTGTGTACGCGCAGCTCACGTTCATGTGATACCCTGGTCAAAGATGCGCTTCCAACGTGGGACGATTCGAAGCAACACAAGACGCGATTATTAGCACCGTATTGCCAAGCGTATCGATTAAGGTTGAAGTTCTTGTTACCCGTCAATAAAGGCGAGAACTGGTAAGCTATATCCGGGAATTAAGAATATTATGCAGTATAATGGCATCTGACCATCCCCCGAAGGTGGTAACGATTACCATCTTCAATGTAACATCTTTGAACGGGTGCGGCTCGCAGCGATACCGTAAGCGTCTGCCTTACCTTTAACGAAGTGATGAATGTGGTATTAAGGGTATGTCTCGCGAAGTCCAGCATATTTTTATCAACGACTGATGACCATACGATTGAGAATTATACCCTTTGCATTTAGTTAGAAGCTCCTCCGTAGGCTATGCATCCCGCTTTTCTAAAAAAGAATAACATCCTTTTAATTGAGTGCCATTGACCACGACTTTTGTAAAATATAATTATATCGGCCCATTTCCGAAATAGGTTCTTCGCCAGCTCCCCCGCAAGAGGGTCATCGTTTGCCCTTGCGTGTATTCTCACTCTACACACCGCTCGGGCGACTTCGAGGTGTAGCTGTTTTGTTTCCTACAGATGAGACATCCGTGAGTATTGCGGGCGGAGAACGAGCTGTTTTTTGGCACTACTGAGGTACATCGTCTCTTGCGTGTTTAGTACCGTTTGGTCTTCGTGGCACAAAGGTTTAGCTGCGCATTTTTTCGACCCCTACTACTTAGTAAGGTGGTCGAGGATATCTTGGTGCGAGTCGCACTTTTCTTGAGAAAATCGTGTTGATGATAATCGATACCGCCTCTGGGTGAAGAATGATGTCACGGCGGCAATATTAGTTTTTAACACCTGGCCATTGTCCGCTAGTTATCGCCTACCCTGAAAGGTGGACAAGGATTTTGGACGAGCTCGATACGCCGGGGTTGAGCGAAGCAGACACTCGTGACATTCGTCGCCTCAAATCTTATCACGTCTGGGCCGTTTTTTTACCAAGGTACTGCATATGAGTACCTTTTTTCAGTAAGCTTGGAGACCGTATCCTTGATGCGCTGTTGTTCTGATTGGATCATGTCACATTAATAACCATTTCAACTTCCCTAGCCTAACAAAGGCTTCTCGAGTCGGTGACATCTGCTCGACCACCGGCGATTGATGGACTGCAGATGTGCTACACCAGCGTATTTTCGACGCTTGCGAGCGCTTCTAGGTAAGTAATTACCGCCTCCAATTGAAACACTCTGAATGTACTTCACCAGCATTGTCTTATAGCTTTTGAGCACTTCCAGGTGAGCAATTCACTTCTCTGGTTTCTTGTTCACCATTCTTCGATCTCGTCGGGAGCACGATAGACTTAATCCAGTAACCGTTACTCGCCACATTAGAGTCAATGCGTGCGGGCCTTCGGCTCCATAGCTAACTAGACACTTCCTAACAAAGCAATGTTATCAAACCCGCCTCTGGTTGAAGCATACAACCTTAACCTTTGTGTATTTGCTAACGCAGACTTTGGAAGTCAAGCCTTCCTCTGGGCAAAGTCCCGTTGGTTATAAGTATAGGAATATTGGTATTTAAAAATGAGTGAAACTTCGTAGAACAGGGGTTCTCGGTACACGTGAGCTACTAACCGCATTACAGAAAATAAAATAGCCTTATAATATGATATGATAAAATGAATATGTTTGATATACGCCACAGAAGCACCAGCCCTAGATATTTGAATTCTCGAAGAAGTAAAGAAATCGTATAGACTGATGTACCTTAAAAGCTTACGGCCCCGCTCATATGAAATTCACGAGTTCAGCCACTGGGCTATTGTCAAAACGGACTTGTAGGGTCATGCTTTGTCCCCTGAAATTTAGCAGCCCAAGTATACCTCGGACCCTCCCATTCGGACAATTCGAAATTTTCATAAATACCAACATTCTTGTACTTATGGAAGTTTTCAAGTTTTAACAAGTGTAATTCGAAGAGTGAAATACTGAACTCTATAAAAAATATACTAATAAAAGTGTTTAGGGAAGAATATTACAGCATTTGCCCTGTCACCCTCCACCTCACTAATATGCGGGCGTCATTGGGATTCTATCTCAATTTGTCATATTAAGACAATGCACAAAAGTGACCGCTTCACGGGAAACCACTCAAATTCCACCCTCTAAACTCTGCCGTTCCTGCCTTTTATAGCATTATTGCACCGGTAGTCCCTCCGTGCACAAAAGAATTGGCTTAATGCACACCTAGAGAAGGCGTGGTCTTTGCGGTCGACGCGCATAAAGAAATTTTTGGTCAGGATATCAAAGTGTAGTTTAATAAAAGTGCCGTTGGTTTTTTCTGAGTCCTGCTTCATTACCTCAAGTGTCGCCTAATGTCTCACGACCTAACTGTACCCGACGGGGAAGTGCACACTGCACTCAGCATCCTCGCAGAACGAATCTCGGCCTTCGTGCCCCTTTCGACGACAGAAAGTGTTGCAAAACTCTTGAGCCCACAGGTCATCGCTTTATAAGATCACTGCCAACGCATATAGCAGCACCAGCTGGATAAACTCGTGTTCTTAATGACGGATGCACCTTGGTGAATTAAATCTGTCGAGTATGTCGATGAGTATTAGACTTGGCCAGGCACTAAGTATGGAATCACGCCGTCGTACACATGTTCAGCCTTCACAAACTAGTTTCAGCGAAGCGGAAGTCCTTCAAGTTCGTCAGCTCACGCTTGATTTGGCAAAATACAAAGCGCAAAACGAACGTCGAGATAGCAGCTCATTATCTCTGGATCTTGCACAGTGAAGCCTCCACTTCGTCTCCAGGTGACAATTGTAGCAGCTACCTACCCAAAATCATATTCTCAACAAAGCTGGTTCCCGCTTGTTAATATGGAATGCGCTGAAACAAAAAACACGTGCCTCTTCCCTAACAATTACAAATACCGTAGGTGTGCCGGGTCAACAGCGGAGAATAAACCAGTCCAAATCTTATCTTAAGCTTGCAAAACTTTTTGAGCGAGACCCTCCTTTACATCACCAGATACGGATAAGAGCCCTGGGGTGCCCGCCAGTCACCCCAATATTCCACACAAAAGTGAACCGCCACTTGCTCATTGTGCAGTGCCGGTGGAGGTCGTGCTTAAACCTGCAATAATGATGGAGCTCACATATCTCCAAGAGCATCGGCTGCGTTCAGAACTAAGATGGATCGGATCTCGGGTTTGATATCTGAGTATTGTTTGCGCACTGCGTTGAGTAAGGCACCCCAACGGGAATAGATCCGCGTCACACCTTTAAAGTAGATTTTAGAATAGACCCTGCTCCTCCTGCAATAAAGCTCACTACATCCGGCTGGCTGGTAAGAGTGGAATCGTTGTATGGCTCCAAAAAGCCCTCGTAGAACACAGGATGAGTTTGCACTCTCGTTGGGATATTAAGAAAGTAAATCAATCCCGATTTCGCTGTGATCGGTAAATATACGGTGTGGATCAGTTGAAAGTGCTATGTATTATCTTATTACACGGCTATACCTACTCGGTCCTGTCTAAGATATTACATCGCTTCATTCCGCTGGGGTATTTTTCATGATTCTTGAATTCTCTCGTACGAGTCGCCATCCCGAATCCTTTTTGGCTGTTGTCTGTAAGATTTTGCATGCAGCCGACATTTCTTGCATGTCTGGTTCGCTTACGATTGTGTCCGCTGAGGGACTCGAATCCCCGAAACACACCGTTAGGTTCGGAAGCATTGACCACTTGACCCACGCCACTGGGCCCTGCGGTGTAGCTCAATCGTACGTTTAGACTGCATACCTGGGTAAATA